AAGCCGGCCGTACACTGGGCCATATTTTTAATCGTTGCACCAACAGCAGCTCTACAGCTCATGTTTGTTTTCGCACTGTGCGACCCGACGCTCTGATGCGATCTACCTGCTCACACTGTATGTCTAAAAACCAGGTGGGACTCAGCGCCGCAGTGAGATGGCGCTACTCGGACTCGTCTATCAGGAAGCCAAACCAGTAGCAGAGGAACAGGAAGCTCACTAGAGTGAAACGCGCTGCCTTGGATATTTGGGCAATTTTGTGCTGAAAGCCCTAAAAAGAAAAGGAGACGACGTATTTGGACAAAGACATGGCTGAGCTAACGTGGCTACTACGGTCTGACAGTTTGACAGAAAGAACTCCATTTCACTCATTGCCCCCCCCGCCATGCTGCTGGGTTTACATCTGAGAGGAAGAAGAAGAAGAAGAAGAGGAATCGATTTACCCACGATCACCTTACGACGGCCGACTGAATTTCAACCATGTCTGATTTTCTCCCGACCTTACGATTCTTGATGGGGAGGTGGTGGTTAGAGGCTGATTGCCTCTTGTTACCCCCTGTACAGCTACACCATGCAACATCAGGCTGAAAGTCTGCTTGAAGGAAAAATTCTCACACAACTGGAGAATCGGTCCTAAAAGGGCAAAAAATCGTACATTGTACGCCCTGCTTAATCTATTGCTCTTTAGCGACTACTCTGTTTGTACCGTTTCTATGGTTCAGGTTGTCTGAAATAAAGCTTAAATCTTCCAGAGCTTTGGTTAACTCTCAGCAAACGATAAACACTGAACGTTATGAAGCTCATCTTATACCTTTGGTCGGATCAGGGTTGTTCCTAAAGATGTCCATCTTACGATCGACAGTTTACCAGACGGTAACCTTTAATCCTGTTGTTTTAACCAAACAAAGACATAAAAACTGACAATGAATACAAAAAGCTGAGGATAATTCGGCTGTTTATGGCACATCGACTGAAGCTGCTTTGGACCAACTGTTAAACAAGTGAAAGCAGCTTCTTGGAGCCATAGCCACAGGCGGCTGGCAGCAGCTGACCGGCTTCAGTGATGAAAACTTTATCTTCCATGTTAACAGCGAACACCTCTGAGGACGGAACGTGTTTATCACCACCCAGATTTCCCAGCGCCCGTCTGATGAAGACGTAGCCATTAGCATTATTGCCACCAGGCTCCTGATGGAGCAGGGCATCAGCAGTTAATGATTCCCCTGGGGCCGCACCGCTGTGCTCTCTGTGCAGGGGCCATTAAAGCTGAAAGCATGGGTGATTTATTGCCTTAGGAGGGAGAAGATGGGGAGTTTCCTCATATAGAGGACTAATTTAAAGACTAAATGTTTCATTCTTAAAGGAGGACTTTGTTTTAGACGTGTTTTTAATGTCCAATAATGTTATTCAATAGATTGCTGTGAAAACTGGCCCCTCTAACAGGAACTAAATTGTCTAAGTTTGTTTAAATCAAGAAAGATTCTGGGCCGATCTTTAAAATGTTTGTTTATAAAAGCGTCCACACTGGATAGCTGTGCAAAGCTGATCTACTAACCAGCTGCAACAGGAGCAAACCTGTTTATATGCAGAACACGCTGATGCCTAAAACGTTATTCATTAACACCTGAAATGGAAACAGATTAGGAGAGAAGTTTCTGCATCTTCCTGGCAGAGAAGCTAAGAACAAACATGAGGATGGATGGATGGTTGGATGGATGGATGGATGGATGGATGGATGGATGGATGGATGGATGGATGGATGGATGGATGGATGGATGGATGAAGGATGGATGGATAAAGGATGAAGGATGGATGGATGGATAAAGGATGGATGGATGAAGGATGGATGGATGGATGGATGTTTGAAGGATGGATGGATGGATGAAGGATGGATGGATGGATGGATGTTTGAAGGATGGATGGATGGATGGATGGATGGATGGATGGATGGATGGATGGATGGATGGATGGATGGATGATGGATGGATCGAGGATGGATGGATTGATGGATGGATGGATGATGGTGGATGGAAATGGTGGTCAGTCCAGGAGAAGCTCTGCTCAGCTGGAAGCTGCTGATCTGCAGCCTGGATCACTGGGATGTTCTCTGCCTCCCAGTTCAGCCTCCATCACCTCCAGCTTCTCCAGAATATAAACACTTAATGTTTGATCCTCTTTATGCTGCCCTCCTTTGTTTTAGAAGTGATTTTAAATTTGAACTGTTTGTTTTTAGATGTCTCACCAATGTCTTCCTGTTTTCCTTTGCTTATCCAAAGGAAAACAGGAAGACTGAAGATGGCTGCTATAAATAAAAACATGAAAAGAAATAAATGAGACGAGTGAAAGACTAAGACAGAAATATATCAACACCAGACTGACTGATAATTAATAAGCATTCAATGATTCTTCTATGAGTCATTCTTCTGATTCCATTAATGTTTTCTTTAGGCCATATGTTTATCTGTTTCAATATTCAATTTTCATCCTTCATTCAATTTTTTTTTGCTTTTAAACTGTTTTTAAATTATTTTTATTATGTTGTGTTCTTAAACTGTACAGCACTTTGTATCAACTGTGGTTGTTTTAAAGTGCTTTATAAATAAAGCTGGTATGGTATGGTATGGTAATATTATAGTTGTGGAAGTATTGCGTCAGATTTCAGCCTAAAGTCCACACGTGTAATAAATACTCATCTGAGCAGTTTTATTTCAAACACAAGGATGTAAACTTCATTTTCATTGCTCTATGAGGTCCAGATGACTTCATTCTCTGCGCTCGTAGTTTGATTTTAAATGTAGATCCTGCCGTGTTTGGACCCACTTCTGTGCGCTTCTGACAACTTTCGCCACTTTGAAGGCGTTACCCACCGGACAGAGCAACTTGCCAGTGATTGGATACTTTTCAGGGAATCCCGCCTCTTGAGGCTGCTCTCTTCTTCTTACTAGCACCTTAATTTTCCTGTACTTTTTATCGCACAATTTGCAATCCTCGTCTGGGCGATTCCGTGCTAAAGTTGAAACAGTCTGTCAGACACTATGGGCACAGACTACAGCACAGGCATAGGTCTAGGTTTAATGCAAACATGAATTCAAATAAAGCCGGAGCAAACTGGAGCAGAGCTCCGACCTTTGAATAGAAAGCCGCTCTGCGCTCCACCATATTTCTTCCTCTCCGCTCTGCTCCCATGCTCTGGTCTGGGCAGCGGACATGTTGGCCACTGGTTATAGTGGCCTCAGTGAGCAGCCGCCACTAACCTGGGGTTCATCACCAGCCGTCTGAAGAAGTAGGTCCATGTGATGTAATCCATGGCATCCTGCTTGGAGGAGATGGTTCCAGCAGCGATTTCAGCGTTCAGATGGTCTGACAGCACGCTGAGGAGGCTGACGAGACAAAAAAATAAATTAAATTAAAAAATCAGAACTATAAATATACAGTCATATGTTTATATTGCTATTTTTTATGTATTTATTACTGTTTTCAAGGCTGCACTTTAAAAAATGAAATTGTCTAGAGCTCTTTTAAATGAAATTTAAAAATAAAAGTCTAAGTCTAAGAACAGATGATGAGAGTTAGGAGCTCCGTTACCAGAGGTCTCCTTTATCAGAGCGTGTGTGGATTCTACCTTTAGCAGAGGTGATGGTTTAACACCAGAGTCTATAACAAAAGAGTGACTGTGGATCTATTCTGAACAGGAACACGGTTTTCTGTTTGTTACTCAGAGATCCAGATGTGGAAGTCACAAACCAGCTGTGCTCTGTTTGACCAAAAGTCCAGATCCTGTTGGGTTTTTCCCTCTTCACGAGCAAATCCATGTCTGACTCCATGGCTGTGTCCAACCATCCGCCCTAAACACTATATAGGGGTTACGCCATATTAGATGAGTGCCGAACGTCTAAAAGTAGTGGACTAAAATTTCCCACAATGCACCTTGGGAAAGTAGTGATCAACCATGGTCACCAGACGAGCAGATATATCCCAGACTTATGGGATATGTTGTAGCAGTGACATTATATACGTAGACGCCTAATTGGACGCTGTCGGCAGCGAGGCTGACGTGCCTAGAGGGCGGCCATCTTGGATCGGACCAGTTTAGACAGCTGCTGTCAGAATGAACCGGAGGCGCCTTAGATCTCATTTTAATCACATGAAAGACGAGTCAGAGATAATACTACAATAATTTCTAACATGTCACAACCATTTAAAAGGCCAAAACTAATTTTGAAAAATTTTTTTTTTTTTGGGGGGGGGTGGGGGGAAGTCATATTTAAATGTCAAATCATTCTGGCCTAAACATGTATCGTGAAAAATCAGTACTCTTTATCAGCACATATTGTCCCAAAGTTTAGCAAATTTATACTTAAAAAAAATCCTGACTTAAAATCTGTGTTTTTTCCGTTATCTTCTG